AAGGCGTGGCACTGAAATTTTGAAAGATTTGAATGCGATTTAAGGAACGTAGTAGATGGCGCAATTCATTTTTGAACCCATCGAAAAAAAAAATCTGGCATTGGAATGGGATTCAAGGGACATAGATGGCGCAACCCATTTTCAAGGTATTGCAATGAAATTTTAAAAGTGTTTTCCCAATATATTTTTGTCAAAATATGTTGAAAAATGAGATTTCTATCCATAAATTCTGCCCACAATCAATTTTAAAACCTTCAGTGGTTTATTTTTAAGGCGTGGCACTGAATTTTTGAAAGATTTGAATGCGATTTAAGGCACATAGATGGCGCAATTCATTTTTGAACCCATCGAAAAAAAATCTGGCGTTTGAATGGGATTCAAGGGACATAGATGGCGCAACTCATTTTCAAGGTATGGCAATGAAATTTTAAAAGTGTTTTTCCAGTATATGTTTGTCAAAATATGTTGAAAAATGAAATTTCTATCCATAAATTCTGTCCACAATCAGTTTTAAAACCTTCAGTGGTTCATTTTTAAGGCGTGGCACTGAAATTTTGAAAGATTTGAATGCGATTTAAGGAACGTAGTAGATGGCGCAATTCATTTTTGAACCCATCGAAAAAAAAAATCTGGCATTGGAATGGGATTCAAGGGACATAGATGGCGCAACTCATTTTATACAATACAAATTTGTGCAATTCCACCGTATATACAAGCAAAAATGATCGGAAATGTAGTAAATTTAGTTAACAATACCCTTATGTCCATCTACTGGAGTGGCAGTTGCGCCATCTACCTTCTCATTTTAAAGTAGGGTGATTTTTTCTTCAATTGGCGGAACTCGTTTTATGTTCCAGCTAAAATAGTGCCGTTTTCTTTCTCAGCGCGCGGTGCCATCTTATGGGTATTTTGGTTTTTGAGTTGAGCCATCTACTTTGAGATTCATGTAATCTAATATGCATGTCACAGGACTCAGTTCCTACCGGATCATATAATGACCCATTCTTGTCTAGTGTGAGTGAGTGAGTGAGTGAGTGAGTGAGTGAGTGAGTGAGTGAGTGATGGTGTGTGTGTGAGTGAGTGATTGAGTGTGTGAGTGAGTGTGATGAGTGTGAGGGAGGACAGGCGGAGGAGGAGGACGGAGCGGATACAGAACTAAAAACAAAAACCCCACACGTCAATGTGGGGAACAAGGACGGCTAGTGCCCGGGCACGTCGTAACGTCATTTATTGAAAAACGATGAGTTCGTTGGCTAAGTCGGCTCACAGAGAAAAGCAGATGCGCGTGAAGAGTATTTGGTCACAACAACCCTCACGGCGTTGAATTGCATCCGGGCAGCCGTGCAAACTGTTCTCAAGCCGGTCAAGCAACAAAGTGTTCCTGCCTTGGTTGTTAGCCCGGACCCCAGAACCCAAACACACGCAAGACTCCAATCTGAAAACCAAGGCTAATTGAAGTTTGAACTGCAACAGGACTACAAAAAGCACGGCGCCAGAATAGCGTGCACCATTTTCCCAAACATCCCCCGCGTCTGCAGAGCTCAGGGACCATGGCAGTCCACAGCCGTTCCATCCCCAGCATGTTGATTGGGCTCAACCTGCCAAAGGCTACGAGGTATAACACCCCTTCGAAAGAGTGTGGAAGTGAACGCCTCAATCGAAATCACAAGGCCCGAACCCACGCGAGACGCTGTCGCCGTGTGAGCCTGAGACGACATTCGCCATCGCATCCGGCTTGCCTTCTGTCACTCAGACATGTAGCCGCAAAAAGAATCTTTTGCAAACGCTGCAGCTCAAAATGCGACTGTTTTACCTCCTGGTGCGGGCCTGGCTACAGCACGGAGCCCCAAGACTATAGCACAGGATAGCGGCGATATCCGGCTTCAGCAAATCGCTGGTTACCCGAGGTACTTCCGGAACACCATTCGAGCGACAAATGCGATCAACGGCGAGGCCTGTACCGCGATTGTGGGCCGCGACCTCAATAGCCTCATCCTGCGCCTTCCCGGTTTGTATACTTCACCGCCAAAAACTTGCGCTCCCAGAGCTTGGTTTGAACAAGGCAGAAGGTCGATCCAAACGGCCTTGCGACGCCATTTCAACGAGGCAGCTGGCTCAGTCAAGTCAACATGTTGATGGTGAGGATGATGATGATGATGATGATGGTGGTGGTGGTGATGATGATGTTGATGTTGAGGAGCATGAGGATTAGGAAGATGATGTTGAGGAGGATGAGAAGGATGAGGATGAGGATGAGGATGATGATGATGATGATGATGATGATAATGATGATGATGATGATGACGATGACGATGACGATGACGATGATGATGATGATGATGAGGAGGTGGAGGAGGAGGATGAGGAGGAGGAGGAGGAGGAGGATGAGGATGAGGATGGTAATGCGGAGGATGAAGTGGAGGAGGACAAGGTGCAGCATGATGATGTTGAGAAAGAGGAAGATCATGATGATGAGGATGATAATGATAAAAAGGATGATAATGTTGCGGAAGATGCGGTGGAGGAGGATGATGTTGCGAAAGATGAGGTGGAGGATGATGAAGTTGAGGATGATGATGTGGAGGGGGAGGAAGATGAAGATGTTGAGAATGATGATGTTGAGGAGGAGGAGGAGGAAGAAGAAGATGATGATGTGGGGGACGATGATGTTGAGGAGGAGGAGGACCGATCCCAAGACCTAGGACAACATTTTGTACGAGCCTGCGCAGTCGAAATGCACGTCAACATTTCAGAAGAGCCACTTTATACGGAAATTGACAGGAAAAATGCCGCGGCCCAGAACCCAGGACCACATTTTGTGCGAGCCTGCGCAGTCGAGACGCATGTCAAGATTTCACAAGAGCCACTTTATACGGAAATTTACCGAAAAAATGCCGCAGCCCAAAACCACGGCGCAGATTTTGTGCGAGTCTGCGCAGTCGAAACGCATGTCAAGATTTCACAAGAGCCACTTTATACGGAAATTTACCGGAAAAATGCCGCAGCCCAAAACCACGGCGCAGATTTTGTGCGAGTCTGCGCAGTCGAAATGCATGTCAAGCTTTCACAAGAGCCACTTTATACGGAAATTTACCGGAAAAATGCCGCAGCCCAGAGTGAGCACCCTGATCAAGCACCAGCTTACCGTAACAACCTGTTAGTGTGGACACACTGTCTGGGGAAATATACGCGTAAAATAAATAAATAAACATATCTATCTGTCTGTCTGACTGTCTGTCTGTCTATCTATCTATCTATCTGTCTATCTATCTATCTACCTTTATAAATATATATATATATATATACATATAGCGCAATAGTGCGAATACGTCCTAGGTCACTACATCCCAGTAATCTACGGATGCCAAAAAAAAACGCTATCAGACCAATGAGTTTTCATTCAATTCGCACATGGCTAAGAACCAAGAAGATGTCTGGGTTCTGATAATACATTTCCTGGCGCTCTTACTAAGTAACATGATGACCAGTTGGTACTGTAAGTGGTGATATCCAGGAGAACTGTGCGTTGATGCTGCTGAAGGTGCCGGTCCGGAACAACATATTGCGGCATATTGCGGTGTGTCAAAATTCATTTGAATACTGTTCAAAAACCTGGATTCATAAACCATGGTTTGTTAATTAGGGGCTATTCCCCCAATAGTATTAATCTGATACCTGAATGGTACCCTCCCAATCCAACAGCCTTTTAGGGTTTATGAATCCACGGTTGACAAAAAAGTGTTGAAAACCCAACCGCTCACTGAAACATTGAACGGGGGTGAAACCCAACCGGGGTGAGAAAAACACCATCTAAAAAATGCAAAAATGGGAAATAGGGAAAATAATAGCAAATTGTTGGTTGATTTTTGTAGGGATTAATATATTGGGGATGGTCAAAATTCATGAATGGGGAATCCTGTTCTTAACCACTATTCTCAGCTAGTGACTTCCTGCACATTTCGCCGAAAAAAATTGTCGGGCGTCAACCCGCGGGATGATTATCCTCTGGTAAACTATGGAAAATCTCCATTTTTAATGAGTAAATATCAACTATAAATAGGTCATTTTCAATAGCAAACTGTTAGTTTACCAGAGGGTATCCGGAATTGATGATTCACTGGATGGTTGATGTTTGATATGTATTGATTGGATTGCTGGGGGTGGAGAATTCTGCTTCCGGCGTCGAGGATTAAAAAATCATTCCGGGAACAAAGGCATGTTTGGCACATGTGGATGTGAAGGTTTGGCCGACCAAACCTTGCAAATGATATCAAGTGATGTTTTTTTTGTATTTGGAAACATCCCAAATGGAATGATCTTGTTGGAATGTTGGATGATTATATAAATACTGTTGGATAATGTTGGATGATAAATAATTCTAGATCATTCTGAATCATGTTGGATCAGCTTTCGAAATGATTTTATTTTCGAAGAAAACATACCCAAATTTTCCCTTGGACTTGGCTGAATGACTATGACTAAAGGTGAGCAATCGGACGTAGCTGTTGGGGATCATTCCGAATTCCACCTGAAATGTGGCCAACTAGCTGGGTTAGCTGACCTTTTGAAAAACTTGTTATTTCGACTCAGCACTGATGTAATATATTGTAATGTCGTATTCCATTTATATGAAAATATTTGATATATATATAGTTAATTGTATGATATATATATAATGATATATATATATAAATATATAAAATGATATATATATAGATATATATTATTTTTTACTTATATATATATATTATATAATATAATATAATATAATACAATACAATATAATATAATATAATACAATATAATATAATATAATATGATATGATATGATATGATATTCGATATATTCGATATATTCGATATATTCGATATATTCGATATATTTATATGATTATAAATATATGATTGTATAATTATATATATATATATTATATATTTATACGTATATATAATATAATATGATATTCGATATATTCCACTAATACTTCTCAAATCTGTTCCATAGAGCGGTCATCTTCCTATTTTTTTTGCCACAGGTGATCCAGGATGCAGTGGAGGAACTCAAGCTGGCACGAAAAGACGAGGACTTGGTGTAGCTTGCCGCGACGGATTAGATTTCACCAACCATGGCGAGTTTCTGAAAAAACGGATGTGGGTCTTTCCCTCAAAATGGAGAACCACACAATCTTTATTGCATTTGCTCATGCCGAAAATCATGATGAATTCTGGGATTTAGCAAGTTTGTTTGGTTTGTAAATCTTCAGACAACACAATTTCATGTACATATTCTCTGCCATGTTGATACAGAAAAAATGCTCGTTTTCAAGCTGGTGAATGGTCTGGTTTGGCAAGATGCCAGCAGCACAAAAAAACACCGAAATGAGCTGATCCAACTTGTGATTGGATAGATTGGATAGGGATCAGTTATATGTACAATGTAGCCCCTTGAAATGGCAACGTTGCTTTGTAACTCCAATGACTATGGTTTATGAGGCTTATAACTATAGTTATTGGGTTTTATAGTCACATAACTGGGGGTCCCCACATTCTACAAATATCTATGGTTACTGGAGTTTATAAACCCTATGAAAATTGATTGGGCATATAAATCCCTCTATATATATACATATATATATATATACATATATATATATACATAATATATATATATATATATATATATAATTTAGGGGGGGCCCGCATTGTACCATTGGTCACTACCTGTCACCGCAGGACCTTGAGATCTCTTTAAGACTTTTTGGAGACGAGCAGGCGCCGAAACATCGCTGGAGTGACATGTGGGGAGCCTTTGGTAACATAGCTATGGAAAATGGCTGATTTATATGGAAAATTGCTGATTTATAGTTGATTTACCAAAAAAAAATGGTGATTTTCCAGTTCGCGAACTGTTAGTTTACTGGAGGGTATACTATTAGTAAGCAAAGAACATCGCCTTTTGCAGTTTAATCCAGTGGCTATTCTTTGGTTAAGCTTTGTGGCTTTTCTTTGGTTACCATCTAAAATGATCTAAACTTGCTTCTTATTTTCTTTTTTTCTGTTAGATGGTAAGGCAAATACACCACTTCAGACTATTGCGTGCCCCCCTGTAACCATAGATATTTGCAGAATGTGGGGCCCCCTAGTTCTGTGACCATAAAGCCCAATAACTATAGTTATAAGCCTCATAAACCATAGTCATTGGAGTTACAAAGCAACTTTTGCTATTGGGGCACGCAATAGTCCGATAAGCCAGGGTCAAGTTGGTTGGATTGTCCCAGGGATAGCCATCCGTAGGGATTCAAAAATTCAGACATGGATGTTGGGATTGAATGATGATAGATCCATGAATGACATTGATTCATGTATTAATGCATATTACTGCCATATGAATGCCATATTCATGCCATATTATAGTCAGTAATGCCATGTGTACTCCTGATGAATCGATTTATCCTTGATTCATATCTCCAAAAATCATCGAAGCCGCATCTCGTCAGAACCCCCTTGGTTGGGATGGCGGATCCAGCGAATCGGTGCGATAACCACACAGCAGGGCGTAGGAAAACCATGGAAAACCCATAGCCCAGAAGCTGGTTGAGGTTTCGGTCAATATATATATATATATATACATATATATAGTTAACTATGGTTATGGGGATGTTAAGGGATGAGATATCCCATCTATGGGAAAACAAAAAATTGGATTTCTGTGTCATTGGATTGGTTTAAGGGAAATTTTTAACCGGAAGCCAGAGTTATTTTCCCATTAAATATGGGGCTTTCCTGTAATTTTTCCCTTAAACCAATCCATTGTCACCCTTCTCACATCATAGTTGGATGATGCTGGGATGTTCAAAAAAAGGTTTTGACCCATCCCCAAGTAAGAAAAGCAGTTGCATAAGCATAGATCAAGAATATGAAGTTGAAAACATGCCGAGCAGCCATGGTGCTAA